ATCCATGACATGCACGTGCGTGGCATCGGAGAAGCACATAATTTGCAACAATCACGACAACAGAGCAGAAAACAATCACCAGACAACAGCGACTCAGATGCAAGACCAATGTTGGCGGAGGAACAAGAACAATAGCAAATATATGACAAAGCATTTCAATGGAAATGCGTATGTACAAGGTTGAAGCCAAAAATTGGACCCGTAGTCTCTACTGTACAACCGAGTAGCAAAAAAAAATTGGGCCCATCGTCTCTGCTACACACAGAGTAGCAAAAAAAAACTGGACCCGTCGACGGGCGCCGTCTCTACTGTACAACCGAGGAGGGAAAAAAAAAATGAAAACCCTAATGTCCACATCATCTCTAATGAAAACCGAGTACGAAAAAAAAAAAATGAAAACCCTAATGTACAACCGAGTAGGAAAAAAAAACTGGACCCATCGTCTCTGCTACACAATAGAGTAGAAAAAAAAAATTGGACCCGTCGACGGGCGTCGTCTCTACTATACAACCGAGTAGCAAAAAACACCACGGACGTCGTCATCTCCCACCAGAGCGCGCGCGGCCTCTCTCAGAGGACGTGCGGCCATGCGGTCCTCCCCGGCGCCCTCCTCTCCCTCCGGCATCTGTGCCCCGTGCCCCGCCGCATGTGCCGCAGCGGCCGCCGCGGCCACCTGTGCCCTGTGTCTGCGTGCCGCAGTCTCGATCGACTCGGACTCAGTGTCCACGTCCTCGTCCTCCTCCGCCTGTGCAGCAATCCCCCTCTCTCTCTCCCTTTGAATCGCGTCCAATGCTGCCTGCCCAGCGGCGACCCCTGCAGCGAGTCGAGCCTCAACCTCCGAGAGGCCATGCTGTCGTCTCGTCCCGCGACGCATCGACAACCCCTCCTCGCCCGATGTGAATTGCTCTCCCCGCAGCCTGTCCGTGGATGTCCCTGCGGCCTCGAGGACCAATGTCCTCCTCGTCTCCGCTCGTGACAAACCAAGCATGCGGCCTGTCATTTGCAGGCTCGGACGTCCGGATCCACCCTCCGCAGCCTGCGTTTGAACAGGCGTACGTCCCGTGAAGACGCCCCTCCCGGCGTCGTAATCCGCCCGCAACCGGTCCCCGACCCGACGAACAGCTGACCATCCGCCACCCACACCTCCTCGGACTGGCGGCGGGGAACCGCCACTGTGCGCAACTCCGGGTGCCACCGTCCGGTCCCCGGTGTCGACCCTGGCCTCCGGAGTCCGTGCGGGCGGTGGAGGCATCGATCCTGCACTATCTCTGCCGTCGTCGCTGCGTCTGTCGGATCCCACCTCACCCGCACCGGACTCCCTCCCTCTAACGTCGCTGAGCGACGAACCCGACCAGTGAGGGCTCTGCACTGTGAACGGCGGCGGTGAATACACCCTCCCAGGGGCCCGCTGCTTGCCGCTCTTGCGGCTCACGTGTGCGAAAGGGTCATACGTCAACGCATGCGCCAAAGCGTCGGCGTCGAAGAAAGTATGCGTTGTGTCGTCACGATGCAACGGAGGCAATGTGGGATCCCTCAACACCAAGGCGAGCCTATACGGATCGTCCTCGGGACCGTGGTCGTCGTCATCGTCACCGTTCGGTCCATCGTCTCCACCGACACCCGCGGTGTCCCCATCTCCACCGGGTCCACCCTCTCCTCCGCCGCACACTGCGGCACCCTGTCCCTCATCACCCGCGGTCTCGCTGTCGCCACGGCCCCCACTAGGGGACCCACCGCCCATGACAACATCCTGCCCCTCAGGGACACCCGCGGTCTCCTCGTCGCCGCGTCGTCCACCACCTGACCCACCACCCGCGGCGGCATCCTGCCCCTCATAATCGAACTCCCCCTGAACCGCCTCCTCAGGGACACCCGAGTCGTCGACGTCACGGCTCCCCCCCGCTCCTGTCTCCAAGTCCCTCTGTTGACGCTGCTCGTCGAGATACGTGAACCGACCCACCCACTGTGGCAAACTCCTCAGCCGCTCCTCCTCCTCTCGGTCCAAACGGGCATCCCTCTCCTCCTCAGTCTCAACAGGGCCCCGCTCAACGTCCGCGTCTGTGCGCACATCCTGCGGTCGACACACAAATCTCCCAAGCTCCCACCAAGCCCTATGTCCTCGAAGTCCTGTGTGCGGAGCATCGACGGCAAGCGAGGCGGATACCAGCGTCGGAAGGAGTCCTCTCCCCCCCATGATCCTCGCTGTCATGTGTCCGGTCTCTTCCCGCTGCCGACGCCAACCTCTCCGAACGCCCAAGCGCCTCGGGCTGTGCAGAGATCGGATGATGGGAGGGAGAGAAGCGACGATCGTGAAGGGGCACCTCCTCATCCTCGGCCTCCCCCTCGGCCTCGTTGTCGCTCCTAACCTCCCAACGCCTGCCTGTGTGCTGAAGACCTCCCCGTGGCTACTGCTCCCCCGAGTCGTCCATGCGAACCTCCACATGTGAACGTCCTCCAAGACCACCGCCGGCTCTGCTGCTGCCACTCGCCTGCGCGGTTGACGGCACACCACCAGTGATAACCGATGTGTGTGAATCCATGCCGTCACGACCCCCACCGTAAGTGAAGTACACTCGCTCAGCCGTCGGGTCGCGACTCAACGGCGTGTCATCATCGTTAGTCCAATCATCGTCGATGTCGTGGCCTGCCGCAGCAGCGTCCACATCATCCCCACCCTCCGGCCACGGTCGCAGCTCCGTCGCTCTGCTGCCTAACACGTCCCGAACCGAACGGGCTCTGGACGGTCGGCTGTCACGGAACGTGACAATCTACTGCTGGATGTCCCGCTCGAGAACACTGCCATCAGGTCGCGCTCCCCACACCTCGGGCTCCACATCTCCCTCCTCATCCTCCTCCTCTGCCGCCATCCCCCCCTGACCGGTCCCCATAACCCATGGCAATCTCAACCAGCTGTGCAAGCTTGGCGAACCCAAGCTTGCAGCGCCTCGCCGTGCTGACGCGCTCGTGCTCCGCCCAGTTCCTCTCCACTGGAGAGGCAGACGTCCACAAGTGCATGACACGGATGGCGATAGTGCGCAACTCCGGGTGGGCACGTCCATGCTCGAACCACCACGCTACACATCGCTCGGTCTCACTGTCCCCCTTGCAATCGGCCGCCTCGGCATCGGAGAGGTCATGATCTCCCCAATCCCCTCGCCTCGAGTGGAACGCCCTCATCTGGTCCCTCACGGTCCTGTACAATAAGCCGACCGGCGCACTCCTCGACCACACAGCGGTCGTCGGCGGTCGTCTCCAGCGAATGGTAATACGTGAGGGACCGTCGACGAGGGTTGAGGAGGTGGGCCGCAGCATGTGCGGGCTCTAGCATGTGGAGGTTGCGGATGGCAACCTCACGCACGCACGGCTTGATCATGCCCGTTGGCACGTCAACCCTGCTCATCAACTGCAGCTGATGCTGACTCCACTCGTAAACGACGGACATCATCATCCCACCTCTATCCATCCTGCGCAGCAGCTGGTGGACGGGCGACATGACTAGGATGGCGTAATGGACACGCTGCCAAAACTCCCCGTCCCGGATCCGCTGCTGCACCCACTGCGCCTGAGATACGTGGGCGCGATCCCACGGGATGTGTGCCCAAGCATCCCCGTGCAACATGCTCTCCAACGCGTCTCGTCGGCCTTTGAGACACGTCAGCATCAGGAAAACCGATGCAAACCATGTCTCAACGGGCTCGACGAGCTGAATGCGAGGGCTCACCTTCCTAAAAAGGGTGTGAGCAACGCTGTGCGATTTAATAAATCGCACAAGCGCTCGAGCATGGATGATGGTCTCGTTGACCCACACCACTCGCGTCCCGATATCTGACAACATCAAGTTGCAGACATGGGTGGAGCAGGGGAGCCAAATGATCCTCCTGATCTCAGGCTCGGGGTCTGTGGCGAACCTGCGTGCTGCCGCCGTATAGTTACTGGCGGAGTCTGTGCAGAAGCCGATCACGTCCTTTGCAGGAAAGGACAAGATGATGGCCCGCCACCTACGGTACACGACGTCCGCTATGTCTCGGACTGACCCGTCACGTGCGACGGTGGCGTACAGCAGGGCGCCGTTGGCGCCCCCGGCGAGGAAGTTCACGAGCGGCTTGCCGCTGCGCGACTTCCTCCCGTCAGAAAGGATAGTGGCACCGCTGTGCCGGAAAGTGGCGCGCACCTCGCTCACCATCGTCGCCACCTTCGCCCTCTGCGAAGGGATACCGGCGCCCGCTGTAACCCTGTAGGAGGGAAACTGGAACTGGATAGAGCGAGGCACTCTCTCTGCTGCCTGCCGCACCCTCTGGAACTCCGGACCACGGAAGGCGTTGAATGGCAACTTCTTCACGTAGATCCACTGAAGCCACGCGTCTGTGAACTCGGCCAACTTCTCCCTGGCATACATCTCGTCAATCGTGGTCTGTCGAGCCCTCTTCTCCCTGCCCGTGTCTGGCACCTCGACGCCAGCCTGCCCCACTGTCCTCTTCTCCCTCCTCGCACGATCCACCTCAGCTCGCGGCGCCCTAGTAGCAGGACCCGCTCCACCGACGCCTCTCAACGTCATCACCACCTCCTCCCCTGGTAGGTTAGGCTCCCCGACTGCCTCGTCTGCCTCGTCTGCAACTGCCCCCTCCCTGGCCCCACCCTCGCGGGCCTCCTCCTCATCGAGGGCGTCCTGAATGTCGTCGCTCTCTGCGTCGTCCATCCGCTGTCTCTGGCCACCCGCAGCCGCTCTCGTGTCCCGTATGCCCTCGTCTGCCATCCACCTCTGTACCCGCTGAGCAGTGGACGGCATAAACGTGTATAGTCCGCGCCGTTCCAGAGTTCCGCGAGAACTCTCATCCCCCCAGCCTTGCAGAACTTCGACTGCGTAAAATGACGCGTGGCCTTCAACGAACCCCCCTGAAACAGGTCGCCGCATAAGTTGCAACGCAACTTTCGGTCCCCGTGCATCTTGGACTGGTCCCCAACGTAATGGCCCGCGGTGATGAAGTTCCAAACAATGTTCCCTCGCCTCAACTTCGCCATCTCCTTCTCGGACAGCGGGTTGAATTGGGCACCCTCAGACCCCCCCGCACCGCTGCTCCCTGCACCCCCCGTCATCGCCCCCCCACCAGGATCCAACAAGTCGTGTTCTTTATCTCGGATGTCGTCTGACCGTGCCGCACCGTCGATGTTGCGTCCCCTCGTTATCGTTGCACCCAGACGTCCCCGCCGCTCCTGCCGCCGTGTCCCCTCGATGTCGCGCCAGGCCACGGCCCAGTAGCACCCCGGCCAGCCGCCCAGCAGCGCGCAACCGAGGCCGGTAGCTCCGCCCGGCCGCCGTCGGCTGCGTTCGGCCATGCCCGGCTGTGTTCGGCCGAGTTCGGCCGTGGCCGGGCACTAAAAACGAGGCGCGCGTCTTGAAGACGCGCGCAGCGATGGCGACAACCGTGCGGCGGCCGCTGTCCCTCGTGCTCGCGCGGCGCGCGGCGCTGCAGGGTGCGCAGTAGGAGGAAGAAGAAGAAGAAGAAGAAGAAGATCTCTCTCTCTCTCTCTCAAGATTCTCTCTCTCTCTCTCTCTCTCTCTCTCTCAAGAGTGGTAAGCAGGCATTTCGGCAGCATAACGGCAACAACAACAACTGTTGCCGTTTCAGATAAATGGCAGCATTTATCTGAAACGGCAACATTTTTGTCGTGGCCTGGGCCTGGACCTACTGCCCTCCCCACACTGCCCACTGCCCACACGGTGCCCCTCACTCGCTGGCACCGAAACAGGGCCAAAATGGCCCGCCGGACCTTTTTTTTTTTTTCTGTTTTTTTTTCTGCACCGCGCCGAAGGTCGGACACCCAAAGAAAAATATGGGCGTGTAGGGCTTGTCAAGCCTTACACGCCCATATATATATATATATATTTTTACACGTAAAAAATGAAAAAAAAAACCAAACTCGGTAGGTCGGCCTAGACCGAACCGGGCCGATTCGGTCATCGGCCTAGGCCGCGGCCGACTCGGACGCCCCGACCGCGGTCGGGCGTGCAACATAGCTTACAGCCTTTCTTTGATCGAATGAGAGATTCTGCCCTGAGAATTGTCACCGATCAGACTGAGATAAGTTATTTATTCAAGTTGGTGAAGGTGGGAACTACTTAGAGAGTATCATACCACGCTTCTCAGGAACGGGTCTCTCTTGCAAGAAGGATCAACAATGAACTATAAGCAATGCAATTTGATTATGAGATTATAGACGTGACTCGATATTTTATGATTCGGGGTACTATAAAGGGGTATGACAGAAGACTGAGTAGGGATGATGAGAGAGAGTTGATTGAAGATTACATTGGAAGGCTGAGAAGGATTGCACTGCCCTTGATCACTACCCAATCCATTATTGCTTATACCCTATATATACAGAACTCTCAAGGGGTAGAGCAGACGAGAGAAGAAAGAAACGAGTCTGTATCCCTTGCTAGAAGAGTGAGAGACTGAGCGGTAAGGAAAGGGAGGACAAGAGTGACAGAGAGAGAGAAGATAATATCTGGGAAAGACATATGGTCAAGATGGAAGGACGAGGAAGACCGAGTACATCAGCAGGGACCAATGAAGAGGCTTTGGTTGGAGTTATACGGAGTTGGTTGAGAGAGTTGATACTATAAAAGGAGGGTCAGACATTGCAATAATAAAAAGGCCAGATGAGAGAATTCCCTGCTTCAGAGGACCTCAAGTTAATGACTTTCTGGACGAGTATGAGTTATTTGGACTCAGTTATGGCTGGATAGATAAGCAACGGTTAAAGCACCTCCTGTCTTATTGTGATACTGACTCAAGACTAGCCGTTCAGGAACTAATGGAAGGTGTCACTACATGGGAAGAGGTCAAGGAAAGACTGAAAAAGGAATTTGAGAAAGATTCAGTTCCAACCACAACTAAGGACTTGCTCAACATCAGAAGAGCTAAGTATGACACTTTCAATGTTTTTCTTCAGACCTTCATCCGAACAGCAAGAAGAATTCCGTACTTGGATGAGGCCCAGAGGTACCATATATTTTTGACAAATTTTACTGACACTGAGAGGCAGGCGGTTCGTAATCAGGCTCAGCATTATCCTCTCAGATGGGATGAAATGGTAGCAATCATAAGAACTCTACCTACTGTCTCTCATAAGAAATGGTCATTGGATCAGATTAGCACTTTGGCCAAGGACTGGGAGACTAAGAATGGAATGAATCGAGGAAGCAATCTGACTGCAGAGAATATTCTTCAAAAGGTAATGACTAACTTTATGCCTGCAAGGCCTGCAACGCATGCTGTGGATGACAGGAGAAAGAAAAAGGCTGAAAATGAGGAAGATGACGACGATAATGATGACAACGAAAGCTATGGTAAGCAGCGGGATTCGTCCAAATCCAAAAGGAATGAAAAGAATGGTGATGGAGGGAACAGAGAAAGAAGGAAATATGATGAGCGTCCTAAGAGAAGTTTTACTTGTTACTACTGTGGTGAAGGGGGTCACACTACCACTTATTGCAAGTCTCTTGAGAGGGATGTAAGGAGTGGGGTGACAAAGAAAAATGCAATGGGTCATGTCTGTGATAGTTCATGGAATAAGTTGGACCCCAGACACCCAGGAGGTATGAGGCTTCTTGCTTTTAAACATGATGAAAAGATGAAGAGAAAAATCAATGTGAATGTTTATTTTCTCATTAAAGAGTTGCCTGATGAGTTAGTACAGGGAACAAGTGATTCTCATACTACGATTGGACTGTCTCTGCAATCTATAACGTTGACAGAGTGTGAGCCTAGTGAGGCCTCTACAAGTGAGCTTTCACTAGAAGAAAATCTTACTTTTCATAATTTTTCTGAATTAGTAAAGTCTTCTTCCAATGAGATGGTTCGTTTTCTGGCCAACATGGTGTCGTTTCATGGCGATTTACCCCCATAACTCGTTATGGAACCTAGTGTCAGCGTTGGTGAAGTGAGGAACCACCAAACTCGTATGACACCTCAAATGATAGAAAAAAAGAAAAGGAAGAAGGCTGAGGAATCACTTATTAACATCCTTGATGACCCTGAGCAGGAACAGTCACAAAAAAAGAATGATCAGGGGAGAAAGAGAAAATTTATTCTCAAGAGTGACTTGGATGATGGGACTGCGATTTCTGATGTAATTGCTAAAATGCTGGAAGAAACGGAAGTGACATTGTCATTCAAGGAAGCAATGACAGTGACACCCAAACTGAGAGAAAGGTTGAAGAAGTTGATTGAGAAGAAGAAATCGGAAGTTAATTATTTGGGGTCAGTCTTTCCCAACTAAGTGAATAGATCACTGTCTGGTTGCAAGATGAAATTTGCAACCATGGGATGTGTGCACCTTACAATTTGCATTAATCAAGTAAAGATTCTAGCCCTAGTGGATTCTGGGGCAGAGATGATACTTCTTTCACGAAAAACGATGGAGGCATGTAATTTAACTATTGATAGGCTTGCCCAAAACGTACTAAGCAATATTGCAAGGGAACTGTTTGTGGCTGGGTTTATAGACAATTTGCCTATCCGAGCTGGGACAATGACTGTGGAATTACTGGGTTTTGTAGTGTCAGATCTGAACCATGACTGTATTCTGGGAACTTCATTCTTGCATAGGATGGAGGCCGTCCAAATTTTCAGTCATGAGGGGTCATCTTGGATCGGCCTACAGGATCCTGGGACTGCCCAAGAACAGACCTTTATGGTCTGTACAAAGAATGATTTCAAGCACCAACTATCTGCTAATTCAATTTGAAGGGAAAAATCTGCCGAAAGGGTTAGGAGACTAAAGGAAGAAGGAAAACAAGAAGCAAAAAAAGAGATTTCAGTGAGAATCAATCAGGTTTCGAAAATGATAAAAACCCTTGGTAAACTCGAGGATGAGGACGGACAAATTGAAGCCTTCAAGAAGGCTGTAGAGAATGCTAAGGGAGAGAAGATGAAATTGAGATTTACATCGACTCACCCTTTTTTAGGAAAATAGTCACTGGGTCAAAAAGAAAATATAAGCCCAAAGAGGTGGAGAAAAACCCAGTGACAGTCCTAATAGAAAAAGATTATGATGAAGCATTGGAAAAGGAGAGGAAAATTATAAGAGCATTGAGGGAATCTGCAAAACTGGAGAATAGGGTCACCAAAGAGAGGTTTGACACAATGAAGATAGGCTCGGATCAGTTTATCCTACCTAAAGAGAAATAATATATCTTCAAGACGTGTCAGGAATTCTCTTGTGTTTTCTCTTTTAATGATGAAGAGAGAGGGCGATTGGACGTGAGCATGATCAAGATGGTCAAGATTTGGACAGTTGATCATATTTCATGGAATGATAGACCAACCAAGTATGCCTTGCAGGAAGAGGTAGAAGTTGTGAAGTATCTTGACAAAAAGATTGCATCTAATGTTGTTGAACCTGCTGATGGACCGTATGCTAACCATTGGTTTTGTTTTTGGAAACCAGGGGGTGGGCTAAGATGGATACAAAATCTTCAGAAGCTGAATTCTGTAACGGTACGTGACGCAGGTAGTCTTCCTAATGTTCATCTCCTCGCTGAATCCTTTGCTGGTCGATGTATTTATTCTCTGGTTGATTTGTATTCTGGCTATGATCAGTTCGCTATTGACCCCATTAGCCGACCAATGACTGTCATGCACACGCCGAGGGGGCTTGTTCAAATGTGTGTGGTACCTCAGGGCTGGACTAACGGAGTGGCGGTGGTTCAAAGGGATATGATCAATGTCATGCAGGATATTTCTCTTGAAATAACTAGTCCCTACATTGATGATAATCCTGTAAAAGGACCCTTGGTAAGAGATGAGACTTTGGTCGCAGGGGAAGTCAGAAAGTTTGTCTGGGAACATGCTGAAGGAGTAAAGATGGTCCTAGAGAGACTTCAAAAGTATAATCTGTCTGCCAGTGGACCAAAGTCCCTTCTCTTCCAACTAGAAGTGATGATTTTGGGATTCAGATATTTCTCCAAGGGTAGGAGTCCAAATCCCAAAAAGATAGACA